AAAAAAAAAAAAAAATAGCCAGGAGTCAATGGTAGGCGCCAGTGGTCCCAGCTACTTGGGAGGCGGAAGCAGGAGATTCACTTGAGCCCAGGAGTTGGAGGTTACTGTGAGCAGTGATGCCATGGCACTCTACCCAGGGGGACAGCTTGAGGCTCTGTCTCAAAAAAAAAAAGAGTTATATTTACTGTTCTTAAAAGGATGGCAAGGTCCTTACACAGAAAAAGTTTGAAAACCACTGTCAAAGAGTGGATTTTGCTGGAGGCATCTCTCTAGATAACACCTCAATACAGAGAGAGGTTATGGGATAAGACCCTAATGTTTTTCAGTTCAGCCTTTCAGGGTCCCAGAGAACTAGGGGTCCTGGAATGCAGGTGGGAAGGACTGGTGGAGGGGGAAGCATCCTACTGCTAATTGCTTCCCAGGCTGCTTATCCTGCTCCCCAGGGTAGACTGGCATCTGTATAACACCAGCCATCATCTTCAGCACAGAGCTCAAGTTCCTTCTTTCAAATAATCCAACACCATCTCCCATCACTACCAACAAAGAAAATCAATAATTTAGTCCCTATCTGCAACGTAATAGCTCACTCTCTGCTCCAATGCCCTAAAGCAAAGCCTGTGCAAACCAGTGCTCCAGCCCTTCAGTTTGCCTCACAAGGCACTAAGAAGAGGCTGAGAAAATTTTTTGTCAACCCTACAGAAGACAAGGGGAGTGGGGGCTATGACTAGGCAGACCTTTGATGCCACAGATTCAACTGGCATCAAAAGGAGATAGCCAGGAATTTGGAAAGCAGCAAAAGGAAAATGGTGTATAGTACACAAAAGAGCTGCTTGTCAGCAGGAAACACAGCTGACTTCTCACTCAAAACCATGACTGTCGAAAAATATGGAATACATATTTAGGCCTGGCACAGTGGCTCACACCTGTAATCCTAACATTCTGGGAGGGCAAAGCAGGTGGATCACCTGAGCTAAGGAGTTTGAGACCAGCCTGAGCAAGAGTGAGACCTCATATCTACTAAAAAGAGAAAAAATAGCTGGGTGTTTTGGTGGGTGCTTGTAGTCCCAGCTACTTAGCAGGCTGAGGCAAGAGGATACTTGAGCCAAAAGGTCTAAGATTGCTGTGAGGTATGACACCTCAGCACTCTACCCAGGGTGACACAGTAGACTCTGTCTCAAAAAGAAAAAAATGACTTTTTTTTTGTAATATCTGGCACTAACTGTCCAGAGCAAGTTGGCAACTCGGGGTTAGGGCTAGGTTAAGTTCTCCACAAGACTTCCCTCCTTCCAGGTGCAGTCACAAGTGCAGCCCACCCATACTTCTGACCAACTAGATACAAATTCCTGGCCTCCCAGGACTCCCTGATGTTTGATAGTTCATCAGATTGACTCACAAACTCAAAGAAAGAGCTATACTTAACAATTACAGTTTTATTATAAAGGATATAAATAGGTCTAGGAAAGTATTCACGTCCCCTACCTGAAAAGTCCAAGCATATCGCCCTTCCAGCATATCAATTTGTTCAACAACCAAAAATCTCTACTAAGCCTCAGTGTCCACAGTTTTGTTTTTCTTTTTTTGAGACAGAGCCTCAAGCTGTCACCCTGGGTAGGGTGCTGTAGCATCACAGCTCACAGCAACCTCCAACTCCTGGGCTCAAGCGAGTCTCCTGCCTCCGCCTCCCAAGTAGCTGGGACCACAGGTGCCCGCCACAATGCCCGGCTATTTTTTTTGGTTGCAGCCATCATTGTTGTTTGGCGGGCTCGGGCTGGATTCGAACCCGCCACCTTAGATGTATGTGGCTGGCACCTTAGCCACTTGAGCCACAGGCACCAAGCCTGTCCACAGTTTTTATTGGGGTTTCATTATGTACACATGATGCATTCAATCACTGCCCGCATGGATAAGCTACATCTTCAGCCTTTCTTCTCTCTGGATCCCCATCCTTAATCTACCTGGAGGCCCACTGTGAGTCACCTCATTTAACATAAGACACTTCTATCATGCAATAAATTCCCAGAGCTGCTTAAGCTTGGTGCCAGAACAAAAAACAGATTTTCTTTAATGAGTAATTATGAAAAATTCTAATACTATATTGCTGTGTGTCCCTGTGAACCAGAACACTTTTTTTTTCTTAATTTTATCACCCTCAGTAGAGTGCCACAGCATCACAGCTCACAGCAAACTCCAACTCCCGGGCTTAGGCAATTCTCTTGCCTCAGCCTCCCAAGTAGCTAGGACTACAGGCGCCCGCCACAACGCCCAGCTATTTTTTGTTGCAGTTGGCCAGGACCGGGTTTGAATCCACCACCCTCGGTATATGGGGCTGGTACCCTACCCACGGAGACATAGGCACCACCCAAACCAGAACCCTTGATGGATAACATATAGGAGACAAAAGAGATGAGATTAGGTAATAATGCTTCATTCCTGAATTTGAATGGGCAGTATCAATATAAACTCATTATGTACTTTATTCTTTAAAATAGGTGATAAAGGGCGATGCCAATGGCTCAACAGGGGTAGGGTGCCAGCCCCATATGCTGGAGGTGGTGAGTTCAAACCCAGCCCTGGCCAAAAAAAACCCTGTAAAATAGGTGACATAGATGAATATCTCTATACTATAGATTAGATATAATACAGTTTAAATAAAAGAAATGTTTTGTGGCCACCCTGGGCAAAATAGCAAGACTCCATCACTATAAAAAATATTAAAAAATCAGGCAGTGCCTGTGGCTCAGTGAGTAGGGCACTAGCCCCATGTACTGAGGGTGGTGGGTCAAACCTGGCCTCGGCCAAACTGCAACAACAAAATAGCTGGGTGTTGTGGCAGTGCCTATCGTCCTAGCTATTTGGGAGGCTGAGGCAAGAGAATTGCCTAAGCCCAAGGGCTGGAGGTTGCTGTGAGCTGTGATGCCACAGCACTCTACTGAGGGCAACAATGTGAGACTCTAAAGTCTCTAAAAAAAATAATAATTATATACATATACATATACGTGTGTGTGTGTGTGTGTGTGTGTATGCTGAGAGGGGTGGCACACACCTGTAGTCCCAGCTAGCTACTTGGGACACTGAGGCTGGAGGGTAGCTGGGGCCCAAGGAGTTCAAGGCTACAGTGAGCTCTCTAATCATGCCACTGCACTCCAGCCTGGACCACCCTGTCTCTAAAACAAAATAAACAGAAGGTAAGTCAAAATGCTGTAGTCTTGAGCTCGGCGCCTATAGCTCAACCGGCTAAGGCGCCAGCCACGTACACCTAAGGTGGCGGGTTTGAATCCCCAGCCCGGACCCGCCAAACAA